GGGGGGGGGCGCAGTGAGGTGTTGTAAAGAAGCTGAGCTCAGCTCAATCCCCCTCTTGGAGACACCTGCACCTTTTCTGCCCCCAGGCTCCATACCTTTACCCTCTCTCCCCTCAGCTTTAAGGGCCCTTGTTTTGCCTCTGTAACTTGTTTCCTGAGTCCATTTCTACTAAGGCTCCCTTCTACCTCTGTGACTTTCTAAATAAACTTTCCCTTCTAGTTTGAGTCTTGGCGCTGAATTCTTTCTTAGTGAGAACTCAAGTACGCAGGTTGCTTAACCAAGGTTTGGTCTGACTCCACCGGCTAACACCTGGTGCGTTCTCGCTGCCAACACAATGACTCAGCTCTGCTACTGTAGTGAGAAGCAGCCACAGACAGCGTATAAATAAAGAAGAAAGAAGAAAAGCCACGGCTCTGCCGAACGCAGTGATGCGCGCCTCTGCAAAGCACAGATTGATTGCCGAACCTCCACTATTGACATTTTACAGATGGAGCCAGGAGGCCTGGGTTCCAGTCTGGCTTTGGGACCTGGGAAAGTCCTTTTTGCTCTCTAGGCCTCAGGTTCCTCATCTGAAATGAAAGGCCACACATGATGGGCCACAAAGTCCTCTCAGCTCTGACCTGCTACAACGGGGGGTGGAGGGGGGTTCTGGGGCCAGACCCTGCCCTGGGCCCTGCCAGTAGCTGAGGCTCTGCCCCCACCCTTCCCTACTTTCAAGAAAACCACACGGGTACCTATTCCACACGTGAAAAGCAGTTCACATTGTGGGCAGCCTTGTTTCTTGTCAGAGGCAGCTTGGGCCTCCCTGGCAGGAGCCCAAACCAGCAAGCTTTCATAAAGTCCTGCAGCCCAGGATGAAATCTCCAGTCTGCGTCCCCCATAAAGAGACCTGGAGCGGGCCATGGACACTGACTGACCGTCCATCCAGCAAGATAACTTCTTGGACCTCACACCGATGTCCCAGGAGGGGTTGGTGGAACGAGCGAGCCCAGTTCTTTCCCCATGACAAGCAGTGGCTGGAATGTAACCTCAGAGACACAGCAGGGAGGCAGCCCAAACAGTGTGCACGTCCCAGGAGAGGTGACCACCCTGTGAATGTGACCACCAGCAGCCACCTCTGGCCAAGAACATGACGCCACTTTCCTGACAGAGACATACCCAGCAGCTAATGTCCTGGCAGAGGCTCTGCCACAAATCCCTGGGCATTTACCCAGCCAGGCACATTCTCACTAATGCCAGGAAGTCTGAGCCAGGGAGGGTTTTCAAAAATCTCACTGAGATGCCCTAAGTTGAAGAAGCCAGACAAATTCCAAACAGGTTTGGTTTCCACGGCCCCAGTGATCTGTCTGAAAGGGTTCGATTCACACTCCCGAGGCCATGCTGGGTGCTCACAGCAGTCCCAGGAGTGGGCGGGAGAGAGGCTGGTGATCCCATTTTCCAGACAAGGAAACACCCGCACAGAGGTTAACTGCTTGTCCTGAGAGGCACAGCAGGAAAAGTGGCTGAGCCAGGCCAGAGCTTAGCCCTTCGGCCTCCTGAGCCGATGTTCTCCCAACACAGGGAAATACAGGGTGATCCACATTTTCAAGTCTTCCTGCCCCTGGGCATTGTGTCCCTACCTTGTATGCACCCATGTGGCTGTGGCCCACTAGGTCTCTTCTGGGGAGCCCCACTTTCTCCAAGGCCCCTTCCAGGGAGGAGCTGCAGCCCAGGAAGAAGGTCACCATGTCCTTCAGCTGCTCCGAGTACTCTTCCAGCGAGGTCAGGCTCCCCGTGCAGGCACCAAACTCGTACTTGCGGAACTGGGGGCAGTCCACCCTGGGGAGAGTTCACAGGCCCCCCCATTCAATATGACCCTTGACCATGCATTTTTAAAAATGACCAGGGAGAGAAGAGGAAGTCTGGGGCTGAAATTTTGGGCACTGACGTGGATGGATGGCAGTGCCAGTGGGATTTCTCCAGGGCTGGACTTTCTTGGTGATCCTAAAGATTTTACCTGGCACAGGGGCAGGGGAAAGAGGTAGGAGTGGGAATGGGGGGAGGGCAGATCCTTTCTGAGCAATAGTCAGGAGTGAGGCTCCATGCCAGGCACTGGGGGGTCCTAAGGCTGGACAGAGGTCCCCGATGACAGAGACGCCTGGCTGCAGCACCTGGCCGCTGCCAAGCCTTAACCCCGCTAACCCCTGTGTTTTACCTGGCGTCTGAGACAGCGCCCAGGGCAGGCAATGTCCACTTGCCCGGCTCGCTTCGGCCCAGCAAGGGCAGGGGGCCACTGTTGGCCTGACAGAGCTTTTCGAAGGCCGGGGCGAGGGATCTGGGCAGGACCACCACACTGGCTGGTCGGAGCCCTGGATTTGGTGAGAGAAAGAACACACGCACGGTCGGTTACTTCTTGGGAAAGCTTTCTTAGTTTAACTTTTCATTGCAGTATCACACACACACACACACACAGAAAAATGCAGTGAGCGTGCAGCTTGGTGGCCTCAGGAAATGACCACACCCATGTAACCAGCATCATGGTCAAGAAACCAAACATGATGAGCTCACCTGTCAGCCTCATATGCCCCCCGGCAAGGGTAGCCACTGCCCTAGCTTCCAACACTGCGCATTTCTGTTGCCTGCTTTTCATGTAATGTTCTTCATAGAACGGAATTGTACAGTGTGGGTCCTTGGAGTCTAGTGCCTTTATTCAACAATATGTTTGGGGGAACCACCCATATGCTGCGTTTAACAATACGTGGTTCACTCTCATTGCTGTATGGTGTGTTCATTACCACTGGGTGTCTACCCCAAACTGTTGCAGACGGGCATCTGAGTGGCTTCCAGTGTGGCATCATTACAAATGGTGCTGCCGCAGGCATTTTAGTACATGCATTTTGGGGTACACATGTGCGCACTCCTGCTTGGCATACACCCAGGGTTATAGGGTACGTACATGCTCAGCTTTGGTCCACACTGCTAAGCAGCTTCCAGAGGGGTTGTGCCAGTTTACATTCCCACCCACCAATGGCGGGTGAGTTCTTGGTTGCCCCATAATCTCCCCCATACTCGGTATTGCTGACCTGTCTCATTCCAGCCACCCCCGCAGGTGTGTGGAGGCATCGCACTGAGGTTTTCACTTGCATCACCCAGGTGACTAACATGAGTGAGTGCCTTTTCAGATGTCCCACGGGCCACTGGGTATCCTTTTTGGGACAGAGACCGTTCACTTGTTCTGTCCGGGCAGATTCTTGACTGAGCATCTGTCTCACAGAATCCTTGACTCTCCCTCCAAAGAGCCGTGTGAGAGGAGCTATAGAGGGAGACCCCCACTTGCCTGCACGACCCCCTCTGGTGGCAACCAGCCCTCCTGTAGAATGAGAAGGCCTTTGGCTTTGGAGGCGAACGTAGCTGGGTTTGCACCCCGAGCCTGCCCCTGACCAGCAGTGTGGCCGCGGGCTCAGTTTTCCTACGGGTGACGTGGCAANGGCGAACGTAGCTGGGTTTGCACCCCGAGCCTGCCCCCGACCAGCAGTGTGGCCGCGGGCTCAGTTTTCCTACGGGCGACGTGGCAGTAATCTACTGACCTCAGTGAGGACTCTCCTGGGTACAAATTACCTGGCACGCAGGTGATCAGGAAGCAGGGGTGGAGGTGCATTCACTCAGTGGAATCTGGTACAGACATTTAAAGTTATGGTGCAGAAGAAATATTTAATGATATTGAGATGTTTGGGCTGTATCATCAAAGGAACAATACTAGGTAACAAAACAGTAGCACCTCTATATAAAATCGATGCGAGCTCTGGCCAGGTGGCTTGGTTGGTTGGAGCATTGTCCTGTACACACCAAAATGCTGCAGGTTCGATTCCTGGTCAGGGCACGAACCTAGGTTGTGGGTTCAGTCCCTGGTCAGGACACATACAAGAGGCAACCAATTAATGTGTCTCTCTCACATCTATGTTTCTCTCTCTCTCTTTTTCTCTCTCTCCTTTCTTCTCTCTCTAAAATCAATAAAAACAAAAGATTAAAAGATTAAAAAAACAAAAAATAAATTGATGAGAGAGAGAAAGAACTAAAAAAAATACATCCACATGCTAATCGTGGTTATCTCTAGATAAGGCTGTGGGTGATTTTAATCTTCTTTGGGCTTTTCTCAATATTCTAAAATTTATGCAGTAAATAGGAACCATTCTATAACTGGAAAAACAAAATTTTTAAAAGTTATATTTAAAAAAGGATTATTTACTTTAAAAAGACCATCCCAGAAAAAAACCATAATTGTGCTCTTTTGGAGAAATAACCCTGGGCACAATTCTCCTGACTGCCAGATTTGCTCCGTCATCATGTGGACATTTCTTTTCGGCAATAATACTGTCAGCTAGTATTTTTGGAGTGTTTAGTATGTGCCAAGCTCTGTGCCAAGCAATTTATCTATGTAATCATCTGTGTTTACATATGAGGAGAGTAAAGCTCAGAGAGATGAAGTGAATTCCCCAGGGTTACACCGCTGGTGCGTGGCACAGCCAGGATGCAAACCCGAGACAGGTGGCCCGTGAGTCCCTCTCGTGTCCCCACTGGGCTGAGGGCACCGGCCTGCACTAGGATGGATCCACCACCTCCCTCCTCCGAGCTGGTGAGGTGAAGCAGATGCCAGCGTCTGCAGGGAGGAGCCTGGGGCTGGCTCCTGCTCTAATTGCCTGGAACTCATGATCTCAAGTACTCGATGCCTGCCAATGCTACAACAGACTTCCAAAATGAGGACAAATCAGACCCTGCCAGCTGCCGAGAGCCCGAGGAAGCTGACCGCATGTCTCCAGCAAGCCCAGCACGCCTCCAAGAAGAATCTGGGGTGAGGGGGGAAGGAATTCGGCCAGCCCGGAGGTCTTGCATTCCCTAGCCATCCCTTCTTACCTCCAAAGCTGCTGTGAGAGCAAACTGGAGCTTTAATACCACAAATCAGGGAGGTACGATGCTCACAAAGCTTCTCTTCTTTAATTAAATGGACTTCAGAACCACTGTGCTTTGATTTTGTTCATCTCCACTTCTGGTCATAGAGAGTCCCTGAGTTGTCCCCATTGGTAACAGGATGTGGAACAGAGGGCTGCATGTGTCTTTTTGGAGGGGGGGCCTATGAAGAGGGCTCTTTATGGTCTGATGGGATTCGTGCATCCCCTGGGTTATGAAATTTTGCTGGGACTTGGGTCAGTGACAACTTTGACATGTTTTCTCTTGCAGGATCTTTTAGAACCTTGGGTGTCACTCCTGGGAGACAGAGGGAAGATGGGTGCCACCCAGAGAAGATCAGACCAAGGTAGGGAATCGTGGTCTGAATCAGACCAGGTTAAAATGCTGTGTAACCTGGGGGCATGTTTCCTGGAGGGACCCTCCCTTCATCCAAGGTCATGGGAGGTTCTCCCTACGGAGCTGTGGCAACCTGAGCACTGCCATGAGCTGTAGGCTCACCTGTGCCAACAGGTTTTCACACCTGTGTCTGGCCCAAGTGCCACTTCCTTCTGGGAAGCTAAGGAGTGACCAGAGCTAATAGCACTCTGCTCTTAATTCCTGTCTCTCGTACATACTCGGGACATCTCCAGGATTCCTGTGCCCTACACAGTTGATATCTCCAAAACTTCATGACCCAGGGACTTGCCTTCTCTTTTTTAAAATCATCTAGTACCACTCACCCCCAACTGTGCTGGACATGTTTCTGATGTTGAGTTTCTTTTGTAGAATCAAACTCCTTATGGCAGAGAGAGGGCAGGACTTCAGGTGGAGTGTGACGGACATCGCATCATCCTTTGATGGGCCACAGAGAACCTGGATGAGGGGACAGGAGGGAACAAATGAGAAAGCACAATTCCCCTGAAAGCTGCAGATTCCCCATCAGATACCCCATCCCATCCAGTCCAGGGCTGTCCCTGGCCCTGCCCCAGGATGGGTGTTGGTCGGAGCAAGTTCTCCCCCCTCTCTCACCCCTTCATGTCTCAGTCTCTAGGAATTCCTAACACTTCAAGACCTTTGCTCATGCCTTTCCCCTGGCCTGGGATGTTCTCCCTCCCTGCCAGAAGGCCGTTCCATCCCTCAGAACTGGCTCAGAACCTTCCACCTCTAGGATGAAGCCAATAGGTGCTCACCCGCTCATGCTGGGGCTCCTAGGCCCACAGAACATCCTTTCAGCCACTAATTTTGGCCTGGACTGCAACTGGACTGATGTTCTACTTGACTCTAGACATCCTTTCTCTCCCCCAGGGAGATCTCAAGTGCCCAGGCCTCTTCCACAGGCCCGAGAGCACCTACCACAGCCCAAGCACACAGAACACACTAAAAATGCTTATGACCCAATGATCCAATGAATGAATGCCAGTTCCCAATGAAACAGCAGGCAGAATTTTTCTGTCTACACCTGACCTTTGTTGGTTAGACTCAGGTGCTTAGAAGGTGGAGATTTTAGGATTTCTTCTTTATACCCCCTCACTGCCACTACTCCGGGCGCAGTGCCTAACACAGATTTTTGGTGAATAAAGAAATACAGGGTGAGCAAAAGTAGGCTTACAATGGTGAGTATGCAAAACAGAGTTTATTCTTGTATTATTATTTACTGACTATTGTATTATTTATTTGTATTACAATTGAAAACCTACTTTTGCCTACCCATGTATTGTAGATTTTTGAAAATATAGAGATGATCTCAAGGCTCCAGGAAATTACATTTAGAAAAAAATTCTGTAAGTTGACATCTTATGCTCTAGAAAAGGAGGTTTCAAGTGTTAGCAAACTCTAGGTCACACTGTGTTGACCTCAGGCACAGCCCATGTCTTCTCCATCGAAATACACTCAGTGCCTTGCATAGTGCTTGGCAGGAAAGTGGGAGTTCAGTAAGCATTTGTTGGATGACTGGCTGACTGTAGAATGGGTGAAAGCACAATTCAAAGGCAGTGCCCATAGGGAAGGCTCTGGACAAGCCTGATTTTCCACGACTCTTTCTATCTAAAACAGGAGGACCCAATGGGATTCTAAACCACTAATGTATGTTTTCAACTCTAATCTCAGAGACAGAAAACTATATAAACCTCATGGCCAATTCAGTAAAGAATTTGGGATTGTATAGAATCTCTAGCAAAACAAAAACTTAAAGATATTGCCCTGGAAGGGATAGAGATGTATTTAAAACTGACAGTGAATGCTTTAGTAGCTGCAGGAGCCAAGTGCTGTGGGCACACCAGGAGAGAGCAGTGGGTCCCGCCTGGCTGGGCAGGGGCGCAGGGAGGGTCAGGTGAGGTTGGGTCCACCTCCCAGTGGAAGATGCTAAGGCTTAGAGCAGCTGCTTTGGCAGCTCAAGCCTGAGCTTGCCGGCTGGACCGACAGAGCCCGCCTGGGCCTGGCACACTAGCTTCTGGGCCAAGCAGCTGAGGCACCGGCTAAGGTCCTGGATGTCTGCTGTTCCCCATGGTCGCCGCGAGGGCTTAGCACCTTAGCCAGGCACTCAGCAAAGGTCAAAGACAGAACTATTCCCTAAGCATGTAGAGGACAGTGACCAGACCGCTCTGATAATTGTCTTCACTTCATATCTGGAGGAAAGAATGAAGTTTACCCCAAACCCCATCAAATGAGAGACTCTACAGGTACCTGTTAGCTCTCACCCCCCATTATTACTAGATAGAGTGTCAAGTACAAGCTGGCGGCTGTTTTGCAAATAAATTGTAGCCAGAAACCAAACTCTGAAGAAGACTGCCTTTCCTTTGTTTTATTTATTTATTGTTTGATATAAATTCAAGCAGATCTAGGTCAGTCCTGTGATAAGTTACTTTCCTTGCCTGGAGATAACTGAGTGTAGCTGGAACTCCTGCCCTGTGCAATGCATGCTGGGAGTGTGCCAGGCACCTGAATGTCATCACATGCATGCTGGGAGGGAAAGGAGGCTGAGAACCCTTACCTCGTGGAGTTGTCCCCTTGAAGGCAGGGGTTGAACAGAGCATGAAGTACATTCTCATTGGCTCCTGGCAAAGAAGTGCCCTTAATATACCAACCAGAGAATATCCACTTATATGCTAAATGATAGCAACCCTCACCATATGTGGAAACCCACTGGGTGCCAGGATCTTTAAGCCTCTTTGGTTTACAACCATTGGTTCCTCACCATCACCCTAAAAAGAAGATGCTGTTAATCCCATTATATCCAAGGAAGCTGGGGCTCAGGGAGGTCAGGAAAGTTACCTAAAGGCCCATAACTAGTCCGTGGTAGAGCCCAAATCCAAAAGCAAGTCTAAATTCATGCCTGCTTGACCAATATCTACCTATTATGTCTATGTATCCATCCATCCACTCATCCATTCATCCATCCATCCATCCATCCATCCACCCATCCATCCTGTGGTGTTGATAGGAATGATATCCTCAGTAGGAGCAATGTGGACCATCCCCCTTTCTCCCACAAGACGATTCTGAGGCCAGAGTCTCTTGAGCCCATAAGTTTCTTTGGGGACTGAACCTTGAACTTCTAGGCTTTCCACCAGGGTTTCCAGTGAACTCACTGGTGAGTAGTCCTGGTGGCCTTGGTGTCTCATTGCCCAGTGTCTTAATGGTCTTACTCTAGAAATGAGATAGGATGGGGCGATCTCCTCAATGAGCCTTGGTTGAACTTCAAGAAGCCACCTTTCTTCTGTGAGCTCTTTCTTTTCTCCTTAGAAAACAACAAACTATCAAACCCACAAATATCATTCCCTAGCATTGACTATACCGGAGAAGGGGCCCACAAAGATTAGTTTCTCAGCAGGATCTGACACATCCCAAACCCCAGTGTAAAAATATCACCTCTATGCCTGTCACGAATGACTGAAATTCCACCATTAGAAAGTCATTCCTCTGCTTTACCCAAGCAATCCAATTCAATTCATTCCTGGAGGTATGTATCTTCCAGATGTGCTCAAACAGTGGGCTGAATGATGCGAGCTCATAGTGGCACCGTTTGTAATAGAGGCGATATAGAAACAACCTCCAGTGGCGGGAGGTGCAGCGTAAACAAGAAAACAAACAAAAGATGGCTCCCAAAGCAGCCAAAGGGAGAGATCGAAGGTAAGCAAAACTCATCATTGTCATGGAAATGCTAGCGAACTCATAAAAATAGTCCCTAGATGCAAAAGTCCTCTGTAAAATACTGTTTTGACTAGAGTCAAACCTGAACCTCTTTTGCTATTTCAATCCCCAAGGACCAGTGTTACTTTGAGCCTTACTCTAAAACAGGGGTGGGGAACCTTTTTTCTGCCAAGGGCTATTTGGATATTTATAACATCATTTGCAGGCCATACAAAATTATCAACTTAAAAATTAGCTATGATAAAAGCTCCTAGATCTATTAAATTTCAAGTCCCGCCTATGGTTGCCTTGGCAGGACTAGAGCAAGTGATTTCATGGGCCATATACAGCCCGCAGGCCGGACATTCCCCATCCCTGTCCTACAGCATCTGTCATCTTCAAAAGTGTCAAAGAAAGAAGGAGAAACTGTTCTTCCAGACTGAAGGAGATGAAACAGACACAACGAAATGCAAGAGTGTTTCTGAACTGGGTCCTTTTGGGATAAAAAACACTATTGTGACCCAGCCAGTGTGGCTCAGTGGTCGAGCCTCGACCTGAGAACCAGAAGATCGTGGTTCAATACCTGGTTGGGGCACATGCCCGGGTTTCAGGCTTGATCCCCAGTGGGGGGCATGAAGGAGGCAGCAGATCAGTGACTCTCATCATTGATGTTTCTATCTCTCCTCCCTTCTTCTCTGAACTCAATAAAAACATATTTAAAAACAACAATAAACTACTGTGATAACTGGTGAAACCTGAATGGAGCCTGAGGGTCCGATAGTAGTAATGAATCTGAGCTAGCTTCCTAGACTGGATTGTTGTGCTGAGGTAAGGCAGGAAAAATGCAGGAAAGTGTCAGAAAATGATGGGGCACCAACAGAACTCTTCTGAGAGTTCAAGAAAAAAAAGTGGTAACTTTTCTGTCACTTTGTGATTGTTTCAAAATTTTTAAATTATAAGGAATAAATTATAGAAAAAGTAAATAGTAGAAAAAGAAAATGTGGTGTATGCATATAGAAGAATATTATTTAGCCTTTGAAAGGAAGGAAACCCTGGCACCTGCTCCAACATGATGAACCTTGAAGACATCGTGCTAAGTGAAATAAGCCGGTCATAAAAGGACAAACACTGCATGACTCCACCTATATGAAATACCCGGAATAGTCAAATTTATAGAGACAGAAAGTGGAATAGTGGTTGCCCAGGGCTAGGGACACAGGAGTGTGGGGAGTTGATGTTTAATGGTGACAGAGTTTAAGTTTGGGATGATGGAAAGTTTCTGGAGACGGATGGTGAGGTGGTCACACAACAATGTGCGTGAACTCACTGCTGCTGCACTGTGAGCTGCAAACTGTGTAAGAGTGAATTTTATGTTATATATATTTTACCACAATAAAAAAATAAAAGTTACATGAAAATACCAAACTGAGAATGTTATGGTACATTCACATTAAACGCTTAGTTTCAAAATGTTGGTGTGGAAAGTGACTAGGGTTGGTGTGTGTCTTCAACTAAACATCAAATGTTCTCGAACTCTGGCTCTTGTTCCAGCTCCACGGAGAAGAGCTCATCTTGGTACAGTAGGGTTTTTGTGTGTGTGCTTCCCGTGGCCAAACATTCATTTTATCACTCTGTGAATTTTGGGAAAAACTCTTTCTGCCAAACACAGCTGCGAATGTCGATTCTCAGAAAGACTACTGGAGGGCTTCGTTTTTCACGGCGAATCTGCTTTTGGTTGCTTAGTC